AAAATAAAATAAAATAAAATAAAATAAAATAAAATAAAATAAAATAAAATAAAATAAAATAAAATAAATTAAAATAAAATAAAAATAAAATAAAATAAAATAAAATAAAATTAAATTAAATATAAAAAAGAAAGAATGTTTGAAATGTCCGATATTTATAGGGAATTTTTTTTATATCGGGATAAAGATTATTATATCCAATTGTTTCCTGTTACCTACTGGTAAAAAAGAGTTAGAGTCGGTGTTATCCTTCATCCTTCTGTTTCAAATTTTCTAGGAAACACTGCCAGTTCCCCCCAATAGGAGGAACTCAAAGGAGGTGAGATTGTATCATGGGCCGCACAGGATACACGTGCATTAGGCACGTCTTCTGTTCCCTCAACGTTCTCATATGGGTATGTTTAAATATATACATACATATATACGTGTAAATAAATTCTTTTAGTTTCTTACGGTTTGTCCTTCTTTTTAGTAGTTATATTAACTCAAAAAAGTTGACCAGTTAACTGGTTTCTTGCTTTTTTTTTTTTTTTTCTTTTTCATTTTCTTTTTTCTTTCCTTTGACAGAGAACTTTTTTGTGTCGAAAGTATAAAAATTGTATGCGAGTCGCATACACATATATATACAGAGTGACCGACAAAAAATTCGAATCGTGGGAGAGGGTCGGGGGAACTTAAAAAAAAAAAAAAAAAAATCAACGACGAATGATACTTACAAAGTCTGGATTATACTGAAACAAATTGTACATTTAAACTCGTTGCACATTCCAATGCACTTTTCCGGCCTCTCTCTCTCTCTCTCTCTCTCTTTCTTTCTTTCTTTCTCTCTCTCGAATTTATTGCCACTTTACGAAACATTTGTTACGAGAACAAGGGGAGGGAGATGATTCTAAACGGGACGTTGAACCCAACAACTCCTGTGTGCTCTATGAGCTATGAACTTACGGTATCATCTAAGTAGACGATTATGATCCACGCCAATTTGTTCATGGTTTTACCAACGAGAACATATTTTCATTCTATACGAATAGTTATGGTGTTTTTGTACATTTTTTTTTTTTTTTTGTAATACGACCTTACTTCCATTACCTTTCTTTTCCTTCATCTTGGAAATAATATTTTCACGTGTAAGAAGCAAAACAAAATAATTCTAAAAATAAAAAATCTATAATAATAATAATTTTAAAAAAATAATCTATAGATTATTATTATTAAAAAAAAAAAAAAAACAACGATTTCAATTTTAACAAGTATTGATTGGAAAACCAAAGAAATATCATGGAGTGTGAATTTTCTATTATTAAATTAATGTTTACAGTTATGCGCTTGTAGAATTTATCTTTTTTTTTCCTTCATCTTGGAATTAATATTATAAATAATTATTTCTAATAAATATCTATAGATTATTATTATTATTTCAAAAAACACACATTCAATTAACGCCTATCAATTGGATAAAAAAATCAAAAGAAATTTGTACGAGTGAATTTCCTATCATTAAATTAATATTTAACAGTTATGCGCTTGTGGAATTTTGGGTGCTGGCCTTTGGTTGAGATTGGCATATTCCGGATACACAACTTTGGTACCACAATACAGTTTCGCATCTGCTGATTCTTTGCTATTAGCTGCAGGATGTGTTACATTTGTTATCGCTTTCTTCGGATGCTGTGGAGCTTGGTTCCAATCAAGATGCATGCTGATCACGGTGAGTATATAATATGATAATCATATTTAATTAATAGATTATATAGTTCGTATCCTATCATATTGTTTTTGATTTTAGTACTTCAGCCTTGTTATATTGATGTTCCTGGCTGAATTCATGCTCGGTACACTCGCATTTATATTTCGCGAGCATCTTGCTAAGAGCCTTAAAGAAGAATTATTATTTGGTATTGAAAGGCATTACAATTTAACCAGGGAACCTGGTACTTTACCTGCCGTATGGGATCACATACACACCGAAGTAATTAATCATTGTATAACACTTTTTTGTTAATTACAAAAAAAAAAAGAAAGAAAACAAAATATTTATTAACATTAATGTTACAGTTTCATTGCTGCGGTGTACGAGATTACACCGATTGGTATCAAATAAATGCATGGCCAACGGAAGATCGAGTACCAGATTCTTGTTGTATACAACGAGAAAGGTATTGTGGTAGATTAGATCCTGAAGGTATGAAGAAAGAACTTTGGTACAAGGAAGGTTGTGCATCGGCCATACAAATGTGGTTGGTTACCAGGTTACATGTTGTTGGTACTGTCGGATTGGTAGTTGCATTTCTTCAATTATTTGGACAAGTAGCAAGTATGATACTTTTCTGTACGGTCAGGCAAAAGAAATCATCTCACACTTACAAGAGTTATGATACAACCAATACCTAGAATTTCCGTTGGATCTTAGAAGAGAATAGCCTCTAAGATCCACTAATCAAAATTTGTTTTTTTTCTTTAGATAATCGATAAATTTGTATTTTCGATTAACAATGATCGATTGATCATCATCTTTTGAATTGACGATTGTGTTATTATCGTTAATACGAGATTATACAGGTTTTTGTTTTTTTTTTTATTTTAATATAAACGAATGTATACGAACAAAAGACGAAGAATTACGAAGAGAAAGTATGTAATTATTATTTGAAAAATATTTCCTTCGTTTATTCTGATCTTAATACTCTCATTCGTGGTATTTCCAAAAAAAAAAAAAAAAGAAGATTTTGTAAATTTCGTTCCCATCTTTTACAGTCCTGACACATGTACATTATTCCCACATATGTGTGTACAATTTGTACATATGTATTTTTATTTCTTCACATACTATCAAAACACAAATAAGGAATTCATTAGTTAAATTAAACATAATTGTAAATTTAGTTGGAATTTTTTTTTATCAGATGCTGAGTCATATTACAAAAACCAATTGAACGGGGAAAAGTATAAATTACTTTTTAGAAAAAATTATTTAAATTATATATATATATATATATATATAATATGTAATATATAATATATAATATATATATATGTGCAGATAAATGTGTGTGATAGGACTGTAGAAAATATAATATATATATAAATATAAATGTATATAAATATATATTCGTTTGATCGAGGCTCTCACTTTGAGTTAAAAACTAGGATCGTTTAGCTTTAATTCTCTTAGAGAATGATGCCTGAAATTTTATTTATTTATAATATCATATTATAATTATTTAGGATATATTATAAATAGTTTGCTTAACGCGTGAGAATAGAATGTTTTTCTTTCCTTTCGTTTCGTTTTCATTGATATATTAATATATGTATATTGTATTTTTATTTTTTTTTTATTTTTTTTAAATATATGTAACAACGTAAACGTTTTTTTTTTTTGCAAACCTATGATAATATCTTATTTGTTAGATAAAAAAAAAATATTAGTCATGTACGACGAGACAGGAAGAACGATTAGAAAATATTTCAATTACTCAGCGAAGAATTCTTTTTTTTTTTTTCTTTAGTCACGTCAAAAAATAATGTTGTATTTCTTATCTTTTCTTTTCTTTTTTTTTTATAGTTTATTTAATAATAAAAAAAAAAAAAAGAAATAAAAATGTAACTTTATACGAACGTCTCGTTAAATGGCAATCCTCTCATTATTGTTTTCTCTTAACAAACAAATGGATCATTTATTATTGAAAACGCATAATTTTGTTGGAATTATAAATACGACATAATAAAAATTCGATTTTTCAATAACAAATTGTTTATTTCATCAACGTTTCAATTGGTTTATTTATTTATGAATTTATTGAAGACCAACTAATTTACCACCAAGTTGATTCAACGAATCGATAACATTATTTCCCACCGTTTTCGAGAATGTATTCTTTGTCTGTAAATAAATATAAAATATATACAATTAATAAAAATCATTAATTGATAATATTAAAAATAAAAAGAATAATAATAATTATTATTAACCCTTTGAGTGCTGAATACTCTTACCTAAAATGTTTTGTAGAAACGAAATAATTTATTAATAATAAATTATATCTAACAATTAAAGTTTTTATTTCTCAATATAATTTAATTAATTAATTAATATAAACATTACATTATTTTATAATAATATTAATAAATACTTATATACGTCAAACGACCATACTAGTGATTTTTTACCAAACGCATATATACGTCTATAGCACTCAAAGAGTTAATTGTGAAATATTACTCACGTTTATTAAAGCAGAATTCAAAAAATTACTGAAACTTTCAAAACCATTAACTAATGCTCTTCCAATAGTCGCCATTTTTTCTCCCGTATTACCATACTTGTCCTCTTCTTTTATTTGATCCACTAATGGCTTAGGTTTCAACCAATTAATTAACAAATCGTTAAATGGCAATGTCAATGTTTTCTCAGCCAATGATTGTTCAGATTCGTTTTCTAAATGAACAGTTTCACGATTACTTTTATTATTATTACTGCTAGCAAAAAATATGCTAGGAGGATAACGAAGGGAATCTAAGAATTCTGTTCCTTGATCCAAATATTTCGAATTTTCATTGCTTATCCTTGATACGTCATTTGCAGATGTTATCTGAAACAAACAAACATAATTATTACTTGATTACAAAAAATAATATATAATAATATAATATATATTTGGTCTACCAGAAAATTCTGTCCATTTTTAAAATAAAATAAAATAAAATAATAAATTATTCATAATTTGAACAATTAATCAATTGAATTACTTTTGAACTCTTGCATTGTAACATGGTGGCAATTTGTATTGGGAACTCTAGCACTTGAATACGCTATCTGGTGGCTAAATTCAAAATTAGAGTAGATAGGTCGAATTACTACGCTACGTGGGATCTCTAGCACTTGAATACGCTATCTGATGGCTACATTCAAAATTAAAGTAGATAGGTTGAATTACTACGCTACGCCCCTGCCAGAGATCCCAATATTCCATTTTAAGAAATGGGGCTTTACTCCTAGTGACGAAAAATTGAACTAATGTTTGTTTCAACGAACAGAATTTTCCTGTAGACCTAATATAAACAATAAACGATGGAAAATAGTTTTACCGATTCGTTGAATCAACTTGGTGGTAAATTAGTTGGACTTCAATAAATAAATTAATAAAAACAAAACCAAAAGAAACGTTGATGGAATGAACAATTTAATATATATGTATATATATATATATTTTTTTTATTAAATATTTCCAATGAAAAAAAAAAAAAAAACAAACAAAAAAAAGTAAAACGAGGAAAATGATCGTGACGATAATAATTTACATATGAAAACAAAATCACCTTTCTCAATCCGTTTACCTCTTTAGCAATTGGTAATTATTTTATCACAAGTACGCACACCATGTTGTCAAATGTTATGAAATAAAGGTACAAAGTGACAAGATCCGGTAAATGATTTTTCTATTTGTTTTTTTTTTTTCTTGTTTCGTTGCAATACATCCGAAGGTAAAAGTTATTAACATTTTAATGGCCGCTCACACAACATGTGTGTGATTGTCGGAACAACCGTTATTGGCCATTATTTATTTAGAAAATTTTTATTGATTGAAAATTATATAAAATTAAATTTGTTGTTGTTGTTTTTTTCATATTAATTTTTTTCGTGAATTTACTAAAATTTCTTTAAATTAATTATTCAAAAATATTATTGGACCTCTGGCGACGTTTCACTGCGTAGATGTGCGGCCATTAAAGTGTTAATATGGATTACGGTCAATTGCTATCATTAATTATTGTTATAAATATTTAAATTTTGTTCTTTTTTTCCTCTTTTTTTTTTTTATTTCACATTCTATTTTTAATATATTATTTTTCTTTTACAATTTTATTACCTCATTTTGGTAGACAATGACAAAATCCGGTCAATGATTTTTCTATTTGTTTTTTTTTTCTTATTTCATTGCAAAATATGTAAAGGTAAAAAATTATTAATATGTATTACGGTCAATTGCTATCATAAGTTATTGTTATAAATATTTAACCTTTTTCTTTTACAATTTTATTACCTCATTTAGGTAGACAATGACAAAATCCGGTCAATGATTTTTCTATTTGTTTTTTTGTTTTCTTATCTCATTGCAATATATGTAAAGGTAAAAGTTATTAATATGGATTACGGTCAATTGCTATCATAAATTATTATTTTTAATATTTAACCTTTTCCTTTTTTTTTATTTCACATTCAATTTTTAATATATTTTTTTCTTTTTTTTTACAATTTTATTACCTCATTTCGATAGACAATGTTGTTTCTGGCCAATGTAATAGCGTTAACAAATCTTCCTCTTGCAATTCTTATTCCATCACCAATTCGAAATAACAATTCCTATAAAAATTTAGTGTCCAACGTATTTTTGAAATATAAAAAAAAAAAAAGAGAAAAATAATCGGAGAAAAAATAAAAAATAAAAATGTGGACGAAACACAAGAAGAAAGAAAGATGAAAGGTGAAAGTAAAAAAAAAAGTATGCCAGGTGGTATCGATTAGAAACTCGAATCGTAAAAAGAACAACGCCAAAGATTTCTCCTATGTTTTTTGTTTTTGTTTTTGTTTTTTAAGTTTCCTTTTTGTTGCACGTTTATAAATATTTACATTTTTTTATACGTGATCTTAAACGATAATATTTTATTATCTCGAAAATCAATCATTTTTTCATCATGTACAATATTATCAAATTATTATTGCAATATACAAAATGTTTACATGATATACATGTAAACATACACATATACATACAATGATTTTAATTATCATTTTGATTATGATAATATAATATTTATATTTTACTTATTTCCTGTTGCAATTTTGATCACGTATAATATTATAAACATAATTATTGTTGCACCTAATTATTTTCTTTAAATAACGACAGTTAATATTCAATTATACGAATACGTATATATATATATATATATATATATATAAATTTTGATAATTAATATTTTTTTATTACGATAATAAAATATATATATAGATATATGTATCTTACTTGTGCTTGTTCCAATTTCGATGCAGGTTTTTGCAAATTTTCTACATTAGAATCCTTGTTGGTGTTTAATAAAAATTTCGTCGGTTCTTCTATTGGATAACAATACGATGTACCAAGAAATGCAATGATTAATATGATAATCCGAAAATGCAACATTATCTTTTGAAAATGTAACTTCAATCAATTTCAAATCTTTCTTACTGAAAATCAAATTACAATTTTTAATCATTTATACGAAAAATATCAATTGAATAAATAATTCATTAAATTTATAATAACTCTCAAGTCACAAATATAATATTAACATTTGTTTGATAAAACAAATAAATTAATAATAATAATAATAATAATAATGAAGTTTCTATTTCATAAAAATGATTATACAGCAATGTTTCAAAAAAAAAAAAAAAAAAAAAAATAGAAGTTTGAACCAACTATTTGAAAAATAATTTATACGATTATATTTTATTTAAGAATTGTATGTATAAGAAACCTATAAAGGTAACAACAATTAACAATTATTTATTGTACTTCGAATAAAATTATAAATTCACTTAGATTTAATTTGAATTCACTGAATTATTGTTTTTAATAAGACAATTATATTGACACTTTAAAATGGGGAATATGTTGAACAACATGTAAATAGAACTAGATTGTTACGAATGAAATAATGATTACCATTTAATTATGGTACCGACCCTGACGAGGTTCACACATTGACTGACGAAGCAGAGATGGTTGCTCCAACGTATTCGATGTACTCTTACGAAACTTGGTTACTTTCCCTTTTAGATTTAATGCTTTCATGATGAAAGCAAAGTAATTTGTGTGCATGTGTGTGTTGGTATTTTAAAATAAGTATATAAATACAGTATAATCTTGATTTCAATTTATTTCAAGATAAATTCGATCAATGATAATGATCGATTTGTTTGAAGGTAAATAATTAAATATTAAATAAATATTTATTAGTTATAATGTTGCTATTTATTTTACATATAATTGAATAGAAATTATTCATCTTCGATTAGAATTTAACAGGAAATTTTCAAACTTATCCTATGTGTATAATTGATGGTAACAATGCTTTAACAGTTGATGATATCGACGATGATACCGATATAGGTAAAATCTCACGTATCAAGCCAAGAATTAAATCTATTATAAATTCTAATAAACTTACAACTCCATGAAGAATGCCTGAAAGGAGACTGGATACAAAACTAAATACACCTGAAAGTATAGTTATTGGCAGCGATAGTATACTGTATAAAAGATGCCAAGTTCCGGATAAAATGGATGATAGAAGACCTGGTAAAGATGATAAAAGGTAATGTACACCAGAAAGAATCGTATAGACCAAATGCAACACCGCGCTTAATAAACCAGATACTAAGTTGTATGGCAACTGAAAAAGAAAAGAAAACAGTCGGTTATTAAAAACATAACAAAAAATGAAAAAAGATATAAGAATCAGAATAATTTTTGATGCCTAAATTTATGATTTCTTAAAATTAACGAATAGGTTGCAAAAAATTACAGATACGTACGTGTATTATAGAAGATAAGATATTAGTCAGAAAGGAGAACAAGGAATTATTGTTAGAATTTGAAACTGAAACTCCGTTTTCTGAGTGAGAAAGGCTGGAACCAGATCCACTTGAACCGTGGTTGGAACCAGATCCTCCTGAGCCGTGGCTAGAACCAGATCCTCCTGAGTTCCAACTGGAACTAGAACTATCTGAGTGGTGGCTGGAATGAGAACTCCCACTGGAACCTGATCCAGAACTTCCTGAGCCGTCACTTGAACCAGATCCTTCCGAGCCACCACTAGAGCCAGATCCATTTGAGCCGTCGCTGGAGCCCGATCCTCCTGAGATTTCAATAGAACCCTGTCCTCCTGAACCACCACTGGAGCTAGATCCATCGGAGCCGTCACTTGAACCAGATCCTCCCGAGCCACCTCTGGAGCCAGATCCTCCTGAACCACCACTGGAGCCAGATCCTCCTGAACCACCACTGGAGCCAGATCCTCCTGAACCACCACTGGAGCCAGATCCNCTGGAGCCAGATCCTCCTGAACCACCACTGGAGCCAGATCCTCCTGAACCACCACTGGAGCCAGATCCTCCTGAACCACCACTGGAGCCAGATCCATCTGAGCCTCCACTGGAACCAGATTCAAATCCTCCTAAGCCCTCACTTGAATCAGATCCTCCCGAGCCTCCACTGGAGCCAGATTCATCTGAGCCGTCATTGGAACCTGATCCAGAACTTCCTGAGCCGCCGCTGGAACCAGATCCTCCTGAGTTCCAACTGGAACTAGAACTTCCTGAGTGTTGGCTGGAATCAGAACTCCAACTGGAACCTGATCCAGATCCTCCTGAGCCATCACTGGAACCTGATCCAGATCCTCCTGAGCCGTCACTGGAACCTGATCCAGAACTTCCTGAGCCGTCACTGGAACCTGATCCAGAACTTCCTGAGCCGTCACTGGAACCTGATCCAGAACTTCCTGAGCCGTCACTGGAACCTGATCCTGAACTTCCTGAACCTCCACTTGAGCTTCCGCCTCCTGAACTTCCTCCATTACCCCCAAGGCCCGGTAGTGGTATATGTACGTTTATACCATCTTGATCTGTATGTATGAGTTGCCCATTTTCATTGGGATTGCTGCCCACATTTATAGAAGGTAGACTGTTAAGTAAGTTTGAAAGAGATCCATCTGCTTGATTGTCGTTTCCTTCCCCATCTGCTGCCTGAAATAAAATATCAAAGATTTTCGTCAAATATGTTTCTATGAATATAAATCCTAGATGTAAAATGTATGAGCTTTTATATTTAAATTTGTCAAATATTTACCCTTTTACTTCTGAGATAATTATAGCCAGCAGATCGACCCAATGCAAGATTTACCGATACAAATAGGAATAGTAATGCATAGATGAACTTTCCCATTTTTGATATGGTCTTTCTTCTTCTGTTAGAACCGTTTTCTATTTTAAAACTGTTCGTAACGAATCGTTATGCTAAAATGAACCGAAACCAAAAGATCCTCCAATTATAAGATTCTTTCCGGGTATTTAAAATACCCTTCTTATAGCGTATCACATTGATAAGTTATCAATATAATTGCTCAGTTTAACAATAAATAAATGCAGATATTGTTTTTTCCTACCAAATTCGTAGCCCTCTTTAGCGATATGGCTAATTCATTTGTCCTTGTTATTGACTAAAGTTATTATTTTTCATGATGTAACTAACATGGCGTAGAATTTTGTTTGTTTTACTACGTGTTCGTAAAGAAATATTGGTACGTACATGTAAGTACTTTGAGCCATATTAAAACTTCAATTGACAATAAGGAAACAATTTGAGTTTTTTTGTTTGTTGATAAATTCACATAAATATATATATATATATTTACAATAAAATATACCATTAGCGATTGCTTTTATTGAGTGTTTGTTCGAACATTACAGAATTCGATGTATAACTTAAACATTCGATAATAGTAAAAGATATTGGAAAAATTGTGAAATAAAAAATATTAATAAAAAAAAACAAACAAACTGTAAATGAATAAATTAAAGAATACTGTATACAAAAATTAAAATTAATTATAATAAATTATAAAGTTCGTACGAAAGCAATCTAATTTAACGGATCCATTGATTATTTTTAATAAAAAGCGTTCGACGAATAAATACTGCGGATTATAATAATGATAATAATAATAATAATAATAATAATAATAATAATAATAATAATAATAATAAAATAGATAACAAAAAAAGAAACGTATGTACCCATATGCACGTTTGATTTTTGCTACGAAAGTTTGTCCGTAATAATATCAATAATAAAAAGTAATAATTAAAAAAAAAAGATATAAAATAAATAATAATATAATCATGCTGTTTAATTAACCCTCATTATTTCTAAGTAATTTATTCACCGCCATTAACGTTGATATTGGTATCTGAAAAAAAAAAACAACATTTCAATATATCGAAATAGAATTTAACGCAAAAATTAAAATAAACAAAACTATTAATAAACTTACATTAAAAATATCATCGTATAAAGATCCAGGTTTGTAAGCTTTTGAGCTGACATAATTGACATCACTGTTACCATCAGCGTTTACTTCAGAGATTACTTTTCCAGATGATTTGACAGAGACTGCACCAGATGCACTTGATGATGATGTGTCAAATGAGGGTGCTGGGATTGGTTCGGAAACAGGTATTTGTTTCTTAAATCCACGAAGTCTCTTTCTCAAGTACCAACGATTTGAAATTGGTGGTTCTTGTGTTGTTTCAAAGTTGCTACCTAATGTAACATAAATAATTAATTTAGGTAGTACAAAAATCTATTAACAATTTTAATTACAATTTGTATTTCTCACCAATTGCAGCATCTGCATTTGGAACAGCACTTTTACCATTGATGCCATCCACATTAACCTTACGGTATAAATTATTATTATTATTATTATTACTAATATCTAATAAATAGTATTAAATTAATTAGTATATATTTACATATTTTGTTTCAGGAACAGCTTCGTTTATTATGATGGATTTAGTGGCAATCTACAAAATATCAAATTATTTAATATTTTAATTAAACGAGATTACATTTGTATTAAAAAAGATAAAAATAAAAAGATAAAATATTAACAGCTCTTTGAGTTTTGTGACCGTTCGATGCCGATTTGGAGATGATTTGTACGTTGGTATGACCTTGAGGAGTATTAATTGGTACATTATCATTTGTTACATCAGAATTTCCACCTAGGACACCACCAAGTCCAGCACTTGCACCTGGTTGATTATTTCCAAGATCAGCACCAGCGAATAGTCCACCTGCTGCAGGATAATTCGATCTTCCACTACCATCTAAAATTCCTCCGAGTCCTGCCCTTGCAGATGGTCGATTATTTCCAAGACCAGCTTGGGCATACAAACCACCACCTAAAAACAATACTCATGTATGCTTTTAAGAATTTAACCTAAGAGAGAAGAATGAGATAGAATATATTCTATATTTTGTATTAATTAGAAAATTAAAGTTAATTTTTTATAATTATTTATAAAAATATTACGCCTGTAGAAATGCAACCCTTCATATACACTTTGAAAATATTGCTTGCGAGTGCCATCTGTTGGGACGGAATTTTTTTTCACCCTAAACTGTTCATACACGTATGTATTACGGGTTGCCTATCTTTCGAGCAGAAAAAAAATTTCGTTCCAACAGATGGCCCTTGCAAGCAACATTTTCAAAGTGTGTCTGAAGGGTTGCATCTCTACAGGCGTGCACTTTTTATAATTATTTAAAAAATAATTATAAAAACAAAAGTAAAAATAATATTATAATAATATTATATAATAAATTATTCTATTTCTGATAATATTCACTCGTCCTATTTTCTCGAAATTTGTTTTTTTTTTCTTTGAATGTTTCACTTGTAACTTGTGTGATTTGCACACGTGTTTTATTTTTTTGTTTAATTTAATTTTTTTTTTTACCCGCGTTAGCATTATCACCGCTAAGAAGTCCACCTAATCCAGCTGATGCTTGTGGACCAAAAGGTGTTCCAGCACTTGCATGAAGACCACCACCTGTTTGAGAATTACCCAATAAACCACCAAGGCCAGCCTCGGCATGATATCCAGCAAAATTCACACGTACACCACCATTCGTGAATTGTAAAAATGGTAACTGCAATTATATTTAATAATATTATTTATATTAAAAGTTAGATAAAGGTATTTTTTATGAACATTTGTTTAATTAGTTTCACATTGGTGGTTTATTATTTTTTTTTATATATAGTTTTTGTTTTATTTTAATAAGCATAAATAATATATAAATGTATATTATATTATATAATAATTGTTATTTTAAACTTTAGAATATGTATAATTGTTTGAAATGTATTTTTTTTAGAAAACAATTATCGTTATGAAATATAATTATTCTTAAAAAAAAAAAAAAATAATACTCGTTGAAGGAATTTTTTAATTGCTTGACATTCTCGTTGAATACTTGTTTTTTTTTTTTTTTTCTTTAGTCTGAATATTATATAAACGATAAGATACGAATTTTGTTTTGTTTAAATGGTTTAACCAATTTTCTGACTAAACAATAAAAAGTTTTAAAGTAATGCAAGTCATTATTTCTATTATATGACAAATAACTGTTTCCTCAAATGGTTGATTGAATGATAAATAAAGGTCGTTTACAACTTTTTTTTCTTTCTTTCGCGTATCATTTCGACAATTTATAAATAATTAACAGAAATTATATGCAAATAAAATTATCTAATATTATTGATTGATAATTGGATTTTTATTATTACTTGTATTCCAAATGAATTTTATAAAAATGAAGATACACATGTTGATTTTCTTGACAAGAATTTAATTTAAATAAAAAAAAAAAAATTGATAATTTTGTTTTGCAAATAAATATTGTTAAAGTTTATCGAATGAATATTATAATTAAAAAAAAATCAATGTTGCTTACACCACCGGATGATTCTTGAACAATATCATCAGTTTTATCAGCATCGGTTAATAAACAAAGTAACATCGCAATATTAAACATTAAAAGAACATTACTACCACACACTGTACTTATTGCCATCTTGTATCAAGACTAAGCTGCCAACTAACGACTGTGATTTCTTAAGAGGTGAATCGGAGAACTCTGTCACCGATTGGAGAGGGGGAAACATATCGGTAATAAAAACATACACCAAAAATCTAAGATTATTAACATTGTCATCGTCATTTACAAATAAATTAAATCAAATTTTGATCATTGAAATAATAAAATTGATATTTAAATTATGACAAAGTTCTATTGAATTTTTTATATTTTAAGTCAAGGTTTAATTGTTTTCATTATTGTTCATATTAATTTGTATAAAAATTCTAAATGAATTTTCAATTTTTAATTTGAATTATAAAATTGACTTTTAAATTATGACAAAGTTCTTTTGAATTTTTTTTTTTTATTTAAGTATTAAGTTTAATTGATTTTATTATTGTTCATATCAATTTGTATAAAAATTCTAAATGAATTTTCAATTTTTATATTTTTAAATTTATTTTTCAATTTATTTTTAGAATTTTCTGACGTCAATCAACAAGTCTTCAAAATAACTTAACAACCAATTTTTTGTCCGAACTTACGACACAATATGCACGTAACATTTTTAAGATAGCTATTTCCATTAACTATTTCCTAGGTAGTAAACATTTACAACTATTAACATGAACTTTAGAATTTTATTGATTAAGTTTATTGATAGTTGAAATAAAATGCGCGTAGTTATGTTTTTTTTTTCTTTTCTTTTTTATTTTACTTTCGTCATTTTTCATCATGGAAAAATATTCCACACTTTGATTATGATTTATTCATGATAGAGGCTTTCTTTGTTCATACGATTGCTTTTTACCATATTTACATTATACCTATTTTACATATCGTATAACATTTGTACTTTTCAAAGCTCATAGAACTCCAAATGAAACTTTCATTGATTTATTTATTTAACGTTTTGCTTCTTGTTTAGAATTTAAAAAGAAATATAAAATGTCATTTATTTTTCTACAAGTTTGTACAAAATAAATCTCAAGGATGATTAAAGTTGAATCATTGAAGGATCAAAGATTTCTAAGATCTTACGTTGAATCATTCGAGATTCATGCAACATGACTTTTGATCTTTAATTGTATTGAATAAATGAGAATTACCATTTTTTCATTCATTTTTTACTTAACGTAATTGTATATTTGTATTCTACTCAACAAACATGATTACTCATATTATAATTAGAATTTTTATTTAAATCATTTATTATTTAACCTGTAGATATAAATATATAATAAATATATATAATAATAATAATAATAATAATAATAATAATATATATGTAAAATTAAAAATTATATAAAAAATATAAAAATTAAAGTATAATATTAAATAATACAATATAATTTTATTAAAATTAAATATTATATATTATATATTATATTTTTATATTATTATATTATATATTATTATTTATATATATATTATATTATATTAAATACATTTATTATATTTAATATATATAAGTAATTTAAAGTTGTTGTTAAATTTAATGGAAAAATCAAGATTATTTGTATATTCTGTTTAATATTCTATATATATTCATACATATTCTATGTACAATGTATTCATGTTTTTCCATTAATATATTGATCCAACCGGTTTTAAATCGATCTTTGGAATATTAATGACGCGATCGTCCTATGCTAACAAAATTATAATAAAAAGAAATATACTTCGTTAATGTTTTACATGAGAGATTCATAAATAATCTATGTCGACGAATTTTCATAAATTTACATAATTATTAAAATAAGTTTTTTTTTTTTTTACGTTTAATATCATTTATATATATTACCTTGAAAATTGTTTATAACAACAGAGAGAATAGTTGTTCATGAAAAATAAAAAATATATATACTTTTGTGCATGAGTGTTTTTTTTTTTTTTTTTAAATTAGTTTGTTTGTAAGAAACAAAGTATCTTTTATTTATTATCATTGTATGTATTTTATTCAACAGTAAATATTGAAAATAACAAACAACATTGAATTTGTTTCATTTGTAAATTTTTTCTATTTTCTTAATATTAATAATTATTTAAACTAAGTTTACGATTGTTTAGAATTTTATGTGTGACTGCAAAATAGTTTATGTTATTCTTAACTTTCTCTGCCTCGAGCGTATACAACTGTAATTATTATTTTTCTTAAGCATAGACGTACTGACAGATTATCACGCGTTGAAAATTCTTGTAGAAAAAACAAACAACAAAAAAAAAAACACAAATTCTTACGTAAAGTATTCTAAGAGATCGCAGATTAATACTCGTCATAGTTACGTTACGTTCTTCTTAGAAAGAAACATTAAAAATAATATAAATAAACAATATCTTTTGATACTTTAACATTTAATTTAAAAAAATCCATTCATTTCATAAGTTTTATGTTAATCAAGATTATGATAATTAAAAGTAATAATTTATAAGATGATGATGATGATGTAAATGAGAAAGTTTACAAAGTGTACTAAAAAGTTAAAATATAATTAATTACAAATTCAATAAATAATATTAATAATAATAATTATAGTTTTATACATTTATTTATTAAAATATTATATTTATTTATTTAATTGTTCAATCGAGTATAGTTTAATGTTTATAAACATTTATTTATGGAATTTTAATTAGTGCCTGACGAATGGCAACCAGTTATACACACGTATTACGTTGTTGCATTAAAAAACATATAATCATTCTGGTGCACAAACTAAGTTGTTTAAAATCTTTTGCGTTTGAATTTTGAAAAAAAAAAAAAATAAAAAACATTCATCAATTATTATATTTATTATAATCAAATGTTTCTTGAAAAATAGACATAGAAATAAATAAAATATTATTAGAATAAAATAAACAAAAATTTGATTGGATTTTAAATAAAAGTCATTTTAAACTTGTCATCCATTTTATCAAACACTTAAGAAAGAATTTAGTAAAGAATTAGTCAACGAGGAATATAAAAAAAGAACAAAACAAAACCCCATGAAATGTTATGGGAAAGAAACACAAACTTTGACGTTTATTCCTTCTCTACTTGAATAAAATATTTATTTCATTCACGTAAAACATGTTTGGAATTTTTCTCGAAGTCATTTCCAAATCACGATAAATTTGTCGTATTATTTTATTTCATCATTCACATAAATTTTTGTTTAATTTAGAAAAACATGTTGAGTAATATTTTTTCCTCTTCTTCTTTATTTTTTTTTAAATTTTGTCGAAAGATAAAACAATAATTTTTAAAATTGTTGAATTGACTTTGTTGAATTTTTTCAATTCGTTTTCTTTAATGTGTTTCTTAATAAATATAATAAAACTAATAATAAAATAGTATTAAAATAATATTTAAAAAAAAGAATTTCTTTTTTTGTTGAAAGATAAAACCATAGTTTAAAATTGTGTATAAATATATATATTCGTAAATTAAAAGTGTGTTAAGATTACTTTTATATTTGTTGAATTTTTTCAATTCGTTTTCTTTGACGTGTTTCTTACTAAATATAATAAAACTATTAATAAAATAGTATAACAAAAAAAATTCTAGACACGTGTAAAATACGTGAAAAGTTTTATTCTTTGAAACGAGATGTTAAAAAAAAGAAAGAGTTGAAGTTGAAATATGAAAAAGAGGACAATGTTCTTGAACCTTAAAACTGTTACGGTTCGATGAACTACCAGTAAATTGAGTTTTCTATTTCCGTAGATGTTCGATAAAGATTTATAATGCTTTTAAGGTTTTACCTGACTCTTCTTCTTCTTCTTCTTCTTCTTCTTCTTCTTCTTTGTATGAAATACGTGAGTTGAATTTGATTTGAAAATATTTTTCAAAGTTTACCAAACGAATTGGTAATCAATCGATAAACGAATCGATGCTTTGTTTTACTCAAATTATCAATCATTTTGTATAATCTTTACAAACTTTTTCTCTTTTTCTTTTTCTTTTTTAATTTATGAATTAATTATTTGTATATCTTAATATATATAAATTACGTGTCACGTTGTTTGCCCGCAATGAACTCCTAAACTACTGAACCGATTTTAATCAAATTTTGCACACTGTGTGCAGTTTCATCCAACTTGAAAGTTTATATCTCAATTTATAATCGCAATATTATTTTATTGCCAATTATTTGTTTATTAACAAAGAGTCATGATTATTTCTGTTAGTTCGATAAGATTCTAACAGATGGCAGTATAAGGTAATTCGTTGACTTAAAGACATGTGTATCGGACTGATTGGGAGCCACAGCAACGCGTGGTGGGGCACCCCAAGTATATGTATATGTATTATTGTTTGGAAATTATATAAACACAGAAATAATTTGTTAAACATAATTAGAAATAATTTTTGTTTATTTTAACAAGCCCATTGGAAAAAAAAGTAAATTAACTGTTACTTGACTTAATGAATTTAAACTACGTATGTATTTTTTTAAATAACAACTCGATAAAATTTCTTCATTTTCTGTCATTAAAGCAATTTAAAGATAAAGAAAGGAAAAAAAAAAAGAAGAAGAAAATACAACATTCTCGCAATTTTTTTTTTTTATCTCATTTTTGACGTATCATTAAAAAACGGTGTTGTAACATCATCACAAATTATTATTTGAAAATATATATGTCGAGTCACAATCTATTTATTCAATTTTCTTCATAAATGTTAGATTAACAATTACGTAAAGTAGTTAAACGATAAACTAAATGTATCGTTAGAATTATATATATATTTTTTTTTTTGTTGAATCATACATGAGATATTTAAAAAAATGTTATGTTAGTATTGTAACATATTGATGATGCACTATTACAAATTGAGTAATTGTAATTGTAATATAACAAACGTACAAACACAATCTTTCTAATTAATTTCTTAAAAGTAAAACGGTGTCAATTTTTATGAGAAATCAATGTAAAATATAAAATTAAGATATTTTAATAATCATAAAAATATTCATTGAACAAATTAAAACGAAATATTTTCTACGTAAAGTTGTCAAAACACTCTAGAAATAAAAAAATTTAAATTAAACATAGAAATATATAAAACTGATGAAATTTTAATGACCAAAGTAATTCTTTTTGAAATATTCCAATGATTATAAAAAAAAAATTCATTGAACAAATGAAAACAAATCAATTATTTTCTACGCAAAGTTATAAACATTAGAAATAGAGAAAAATTCAAATTAAATAACAAAATATTTGTAAGTGATGAAATTTGAAACAGACAAATTTAAAAATAATACAAAAAATAAAAAATTTCAAAAATTTCAAACGAACGAAATTCTCGAATTACGCGGTGCAATTTTATTTTCCAATGGTGGTTCGTAATATCTATTTTTTCTCTTCGTTGAAATTCGATCCGATATTGGATAATAATTATGTTCCTTAGACGGTGCAATTTTGTTACGAATTTGATCTTTCGACGTATTTAAAGAAAATTGTCCAAAGAATGTTCCAATAGATTGGTGGTTTCCTTCATCGACTATTTCATGTACTTGATACATGTTAGAACCGTGTTGTTGTCCATAACCATTACCATTAATAATTTCATGCGAACCTGCAAAATCATGTCTATTAACCCCACACTTTCACTGCCTCGGGGACTTAAAGCAAACTATAATTATTATACTTTTAATTATATTTAACGAGAACTACGTCAAATACAATAAATACGATTACTATACGTTACACTAAATATTTAAGATATAACACAAAATGTTTTTTATGTTAAATAATAATATTATATAAATATTTATGTATCATTAATATAATATAAATGAAAAATAATATATATTTATTATTATAATATATATTATTATTATAATATAATATAATATATTATAATATATTATATTAATAACCTAATCATACAATTAACCCTGTTATTAATTTCATAATAATATAATAGAATTTAATATATATATATATATATATATATATTAATATAATATAAAAAATAACATAATATTATAATTTATAATAATAAAATAATTTAAAATATATATGTACTGCCGAAGCAAGTACATAATTTAAAATAAATAATTTAATATTAATAATAAATAATATAATATATATATATATTAATATAATATAAATGGAAAATATTTAATAATATATATATTATAAATGAATAATAGTAATGTTAGAAAAAAATAGTTGAAATAATTTAAAATAATTTTGAAATACTATGAAAGCAATAATTGATACCTCCATGACTTCCTTCATGACCACCATGACTACTACCATGATTATTATCATGATTACTACTACCAAGCCCACCACCAAACCAATTTTGATAATTTCCAAATATAGAACATATTTGACTAGGTTTGTTAAAAATACCATGATTGCCAATTAAAATCTTCGTCAATGTATTCAATCCAAAAGGATCATTTTGATGTTTAGGATACCTCGATGATTTTCTTCGCAATCGTTCATTTTGTATTTGTTCTTTTCTCAATTTTTGTTCCTCTCGTTGAGATGACAATCTGTCACGCCTGTCTTGTCGTCTTTTTTGAATGACATCGGCATTTTCACGTCTTTGTGCTGTTGTGGATTTAACGAGATCACTGACAGCTTCCAACGTTGAAATTGGAATCTGCAAAATGTTTAAATGAGAAAGAAACAAGTTTTGAAATATCTTTGATTAGTGTAGAAATTAATTCGGTGTCGTAGGACAAGTTTGTTAAACAGGGTTAATTATAATAATTAATATAATTATAATATTAATCTTGTTATTAATTTGATAATAATAATATTATAAATTATATACGTAAACTTAATTATTTTATTAATTATATTTAATTTAATAAGAATATTATAATTATATTTAATATTAATAAATTATATTATAATTATAATTAAACCTTTTATTAATTTTAAAATAATAATAAAATTATACTTAACCCTGTTATTAATTTTATAATAATAGTAGAATTATAATTAACCCTCTTATTAATTTTATTATAATAATAAAAAAAATTCACAAAACAACAAAAATACTTGTCCCATGATACCGAATTAATTTCTATATCGAATACATTACAAATGTTTATAATAATTGACCTGAAAAACGTTATCAATCATTTGTTTATTTTCCGGTGTGAACGATTGTGCCACTAATGAGGTTTGTTTTACTGCTGTAATTGGGATCTGTAAAGATTTATACATAATTTGTTATTTAAGAAATGATTATAACGAACGTTCAAATTTTTAATTTTATATTTACTCACGTTAAATATTTTATCTATCACACCTCCGCCGTTTTGTTCAACACGATCACCATAATTTTGTTGTTGTTGTTGGTAACCAGCCTGAAAACAATTTTAAAAAATAATTATTAGATATATTTAGAATGTAGATAACGAACGTTCTAATTCTAATACTTTATTTCAACACGGTGAAACTTTCTCGTTCGTGTTTGGTAATAAGAACGAGTTCGAATAATTTTTTTTTTTTAATAATAATCCCAAAGGTTTAAACATCATATCTATAACTTTCAATCAATAAAATGGTTCTACAAATTTAAAAAACTATAAATATATATATTATTAAATAACTATAATATAATAAAATACAAATAATCTATTAAAAATATAACGAATTAAAAAGACAAATAATCGAAATAAATTTCTTGTAAAAATTTAGAAATGTTATTGAAAAGAAACGTAAAAAAGGAAAAAGAAATTTATAAATAAAATTATAATTAAATTATAAAAATTATAAATATAAATATATATGAAAAAATATAATTAAAATTAAAATATAAATTATAATTAAAAAATTATAAATATAGAAATTATTAAAATATTATTATAAAAATTATAAATATATGAATTATTAAAATTTTCATTATAAAAATTATAAATATAGAAATTATAAAAATTTTATTATAAAAATTATAAATATAGAAATTTTATTAAAATTTTATTATAAAAATTGTAAATATGAATTATTAAAATTTTATTATAAAAATTGTAATTATAAATTATTAAAATTTTATTATAAAAATTGTAATTATAAATTATTAAAATTTTATTATAAAAATTATAAATATAAATATAAATTAAAAAATATAATTATAATTAAAATGTATAGAGTAAAATTAAGAAATTATAAATATAAAAATTATTAAAATTTTAATATTAAAATTATAAATATGAGTTATATATTAAAATTTTATTATAAAAAATTTGTAATAAAATTATTATATAATAATGCTTATATATATATATAATGCACTTATGTAACAACGAGATAATAAAAAAATAATAATGTTATTATTCGTACTTACATCGTCCAATGCAGTAACGAGAGCAACGACACCCAACAGAAAGTAAACTCGCATGGTCAATTGAAAAAGGAAGACTTCGAGAAAGGTAGCTTTCATTCTGCATCACCGGTCCAGATACGATTGCCAGCCAGGTAGATTGAGAAAAACTATCTATATGGGCGAATGAGAAATCCCACGCTGATTCTTAACCAATAAGAATTCGTCTGGATACTATTACATATACTCAATCACTTCATCGAAGTGAAATGGTTCTTACTTTCTATTTAACGCAACACTTATACGTATGTAATACTTTTTTATTTTTATTTGTTATTTCATTTCATTTTATAATCTCATCCCATCTCATCTCATCTCTCTTTCTTTCTTTATCTCTTTTTGCTTTCTGTGTCCATAAAAGATTTTTTTTTCTATCTTATTTTTTTTCTCTTTTTATTATAACATGTTCTCTTGACATATTAGCAATAATGCGTGGGGTTGTGTCAGTTATATAATTGAATAATACAATCGATTATGTAATTGAATTTATCAAACTATTTCAGAAATTATTTTTTTTTTTTTTTACGCAGAATTTCATTTGCTAATATATTTTTTCAAAAATTATAAAAATTATTCAACATTCATCATGTATAATATTTTATCAAAAATTTGTTCAATGTTAAACGCGACATTTCATTATTTTTGTTTTTAACTTGTAACTAATGGAATACTCAAAAATAATTTGTTATTGTAATTATTGTTTTGTTTTCTTTTGTTTAAATTATCATTATTTTTTATTACCTCAATATTTGCTGATATTATTTTTCACAAAAATACTAAATTATTTGACATTCATTATATATAATATTATATCAAAAATTGTTCAATGCTAAACGTAAAATTTCAATATTTTTCTTTACTAATAGAATACTCAAAAATAATTTGTTATTGTAATTATTGTTTTGTTTCTTTTGTTTAAAGTATTATTATATTTTATTACGTCAATATTTGCTGATATTATTTTTCACAAAAATACTAAATTATTTGACATTCATTATATATAATATTATATTAAAAATTGTTCAATATTAAACGTAACATTTTAGTTTATTTTTGTTTACTAATAGAATATTCAAAAATAATTTGTTATTGTAATTATTATTTTGTTTATTTTCCTGAAATTATTATTATATTTTATTACTTCAATATTTGCTGATATATTTTTCACAAAAATACTAAATTATTCAACATTCATTATATATATATAATGTTTTATATATATTTATTATATTATATATATTATATTTATAAAAATATATATAAATATATATAAAAATATATAAAATATTATAAAAATTAATAAAAATATATATAATATTATATCAAAAATTCTTCACAATGTTAAACGTGACATTTTGTTATCTTTACTTTGTTGACTAATGAAATACTAAAAAATAATTTATTATTGTAATTACCGTATTTTTGTTTTATTTAAATTACTATTATAAGTATCTAAAATTACGTTTAATAATGTATATACGTATATATAAGCTCACAAATGTTGCAATATTTGACTGGTATAATATATAATATTTAGTTTCTTTTTTTTCTTATCGATCTTTGGCTACTTTGTTCTCGTTAAAATAACTATAATTAAACTACGACGCATTTTACAAAAGTACTTTACGTTTAAACAAATGTCTCATTCACTTCGCATTTATGTTTTACACTACTCATTAAGTCTATTTATTTTTTTAAATTATTTTTAATAAGCATTGGGATTATCCTGCAAGTACATTCCTACCTGTTTACCAAGATCCTTTCTAAATTCATTTGCATTGATATCAGATTGCTAGAAAACAAATTAATAATTAGAAATATTTGTATCAGTAATATTATCAAAACAAATTTATGGAAATCTTACTTTTATTGCATCCTGCCATTCGATATTAAATAATCGAATTAATCCTTTGATATTCCTTACAATTAAAGTTTGCAATTCACTCCTTGTTATTGCAGGCATTTGATTGGTTGAACTTTCTGTTGTTGTTTGTTCCATAGTTGCTGTGGTTTCATTTTGATCTTTCAATGTTTCACTAGATGCCATCAATGAATCACTACTGGTAGATTTTATAGTTGTTGTATCTGGTCCAATACTGTTACTAACTATTGAACTTATTTGTTTAATTGCTGATATGGTATCGTTGAATGTCTAAATAAAAATAATTAAAATAAGAATTTTTTTGTGCCCCTGTTGAATGACAATCGGTCATACATCTGTGTAACGTTGTATGCATAACATTTGTCGTATGATATTGTATTATGTAAGTTATATTATATGTTATTATATTAAGTATGATTTTTATAATAAATTGTTAATTTAATAACTTTCTAATATTTATTGAAATATATTAAATATATATAATATATTAATATATAGAAAATGTATATAATAGGAAATATTTTATATATTTTATATAAATTAATATAATATTTAATTAAATTATTTTTATTATATTTTTTTTTATATTATCTTTAATTTAAATATATTAATTATATATATATTATTATATATATTTTATTATTTATATAATATTTATATTTTAATATCTTATATATTATTTATATTTTTATTATAATTTAATTATTTTTATTTAATTTTATTATATATATATTAAAATTAATATATTAAAATATATCAATGAACTTTTTTTTACCTCAAACGTAACTTTTGCAATTGTCCAAAAAAATCCAGGCTTTTGTTTACTAACTTGTCTAACCACTCTTTTAGTATCTTCCGTCATGATTGAATCTAAATTAATTTTATCATTGATAGAATTTTTCATCTCAAATTCTTTCTCATCGTTTGATTCGTCATCTGACAATAATTTTTCCAACAAATTCATTTTATCGATTATCTCTTCATTAGTCCAATCATTATTATTATTATTATTATTATTATTATTATTATTTTTATCATTAAAAGGTAGTAACTTTTGATTTAGAATATCCTGAGATGGTGAAACGTAATCGTAATTCACTGAATATGAAGGTAAATTCATTCCTGGTAAATGATTTTCGTAATTTGAATTATCAACAGGACGTGAGTATTTGTAATAATAGGTTTCCGGTTGGTTGTATTTGACATGATCGTTTATTTCGATGTAATCATCTTGATCATAAGTTCCGTATGGTGTTAAGTATGAATTTTGAGAATCAACAATTTTCGATCCAATTAAAAAAATTAACATAAACCATGACCCAATGATCCAACGATGATAAGATAACGACGAAGACATCTGTAACGAAAAAAATTCTTTATTAATTCTTTTTTTTTTTATTTATTTATTTTTAATTTTTAATTATATTTATATACTAGTGTCAAAAAATATTAAATTCAAATTTTTGTGACGTTTAATGGAAATATACTAAAAGTTCTATTCGGAAATTTGTGTGTGAGTGTCGTTTGCAACAGGTTTTGGCTCGATTCTAAGTGAGAGTCACGATAAAGAAAATAATAAAAAGAAAAAGATAGAAAAATAAAAAAGAAAAGAAAAGAAAAGAAAGATCCGTGAATATTATGTAAACTCGATTGGAGAGGAAGAAGGTTTTACAACGAGAAAAGTGAGAGCTAGGTTGGGGGATAATGAAAACCAATTCGATTCTGGAAAAGGAAATGAATACTTTGTCAAATGACGTTTAACTATTTCTACTGGTTTTACAAATATTCATTCGAATAAATAAATTACGAAATTTCGATCATTATTCTCGTTTCCAACATTTTTTGTTTGTTTAAAAGAATTAAAAATTAAATATTACATTAAATTAAACTTAGAATTAAAAATTAAATTGAATTAAATTTATAATTAAAAATAAAAGTAAATCAAATTAATTTAAATTTATAATTAAAAATAAAAGTAAATCAAATTTAGAATTGCAAATTAAGATAAATTAAATTTAGAATTGCAAATTAAATTAAATCAAATTTAGAATTAAAAATTAAATTAAAGTAAATCAAATTTAGAATTAAAAATTAAATTAAAGTAAATCAAATTTAGAATTAAAAATTAAATTAAAGTAAATCAAATTTAGAATTAAAAATTAAATTAAATAAAATTTAGAATTAAAAATAAAAGTAAAACGAATTTAAAATGAAAAATTACATTAAATTAAATTTAGAATTGCAAATTAAAATAAATTAAATTTAGAATTGCAAATTAAAATAAATTAAATTTAGAATTGCAAATTAAAATAAATTAAATTTAGAATTGCAAATCAAATTACATTAAATTTAGAATTGCAAATGAAATTAAATTAAATTTGGAATTAAAAATTTGTAAGTCTTTTTATTTGTGTACAAAAATTTTTTTAAAATGTGCAAAAAATTCGAAGGACTCTTTTTCTTCCATTAAATAAAAAAAAAAAAATTCATTGAAAAATAATAATTCATCGTCTGAAAAAAAATAAAAATGTGTTGTAATTTTTGACGTACCTTATATTCGTTTAAATAATTTTCCAAGAAAACGTTTGACAAATAAACAAACACTTGATAATTTCATTCATAATAAATTATTTGTACGTGTGCAATTATTCGTAAAAGATAAGTTAATCATTATTATCTTTTTCTTTCTAACGTTTGTTTAAAAAATGAAATACAAAGTAATGTTCTTGACTATTACAACGTTACACCGTACGATAAACTATCAACCGGTAATTCGAGTTTACTTTTAACGTAGATCGTGGTTCGAGTTTTAGATTGCAATTCATTATGCTTTAAGGGTACCTACGTGACGACGTTTCTTTGATTGAAAGCGTGAGTCGAATTTTATTTCTTTTATATATTTCGATAGTTTCGAAACTAATCGATATTGAATCCTATATACATATAGGATATTTATTACGTAAATTGTGTCAAAATTCGTATCACTTTGAGTATTACGTGTGAGTATTTATAAATTTCAAATAATTCTTATGCAATTAATTTTTTTCTTTTTTTTTTTTTGGTAGTATCAATTAATTATTTGTGGTTCAGTCAAATTAATAAAATAATTTCTAATACGTCTGAGTATTTAGAAATTTAATTTAATTCTTATGCAATTACTTTCTTGTTTGTTTGTTGTATTAATTAATTATTTGTTGTTCGGTCAAATTAATAAAATAATTTTTAATACTTCTGAGTATTACGTATGAATATTTAGAAATTTCATTTCATTCGTATGCAATTATTTTTGTTTGTTTGTTTGTCGTATCAAAATAATTTTTACTTTTTATGATCTTATTTGAAATTTTGTATACTACAACACAACAAAAATGGAAGTCATATAATCATTTACTTTTTTTTTTGTAAGATAATAAATAGGAGTAATTAATTATTTATATATATATATATATTTTTTTTAAATATAAAAAACACCAAAAATTTTATATTTTTTAGTTGGAATATACTATTCGATCAATGTTGTAAAAATGGGGTATATGCGTGCAAAGAACATATTACGTTTATCATTACAAATTTCGAATTATTACACGTTATTGCAAACGTTCACGAAAACTTTCTACCCAATTTACTTTACGTTGTTCAACATTGTTAAGAAATACACATTTTTTTTTTTTTTTTATTAGAAAAAATACCCATGCATGATTGTAACTAATAACAATTCATTAAATATTTTCCTATACTTTTTTTCTTTCTAAATATTTAATACGAATTTTGTTTCATTATTTCACGAAATTGGAGTTTTAATTAAATTGCACTTGTTTCATTTGTTTGTTTTTTTTTTTTTAATAACACACGTTCTCACACACACACATTTCGATTGTTATTCACGAACGATTGATCGTAACTTTTGTTAAAATTTCATGAACAAATATTTTTGTATTTTTTTATTAACAACACTTAAAACACTTTTCATTCGATTAAATATTTTTAAACGATAAATGATGGATGAACAACATTCGAAGTTTTCACCAGTTCGTTCGATGGATCACACAATACTCACAAACGTCCTTGCTTTCGTTCAGCTGGTAGAAATTGATCGACCACGTGGACCTTAACTCGCCATCTTTAACTTTCACTCTCGATTGCTCAGAATAACACGTGTTTAAAACACATTTTACACACACGTCATTTCATAGTTTTACTTTTAATATTATAATTATATATATTTTTGTAATATGATCATTAATTCAATCGAATTATTTCATATTAATTCATTTAAATTAATATTAAAATATTTATTAATAAATATTAATAAATTTAAATCGCAGAAGTTTAAAGACATTTTTACTGTACTGATTTTTGTGTACGTGTAGAAAAAAATTAGAAACAAATATGAATTATTTCAAATTTTATAATAAAAGTTACAGTAAAAAATTATTAATAGATATTAATGAACGTAAATAATAGAAATTCAAAGATTGATGAATCTTAAAATAAATTTTTGTGTGCTTGTAGAAAAAATTTATAAACAAATATGAATTATTTCCAATTTTATAGTAAAAGTTGATAAACATGATCCTATGACTCAACATAACTCATATGAATAACCTCAGATTGCATTACTGCATTACTACACATAAATATAATTGAGTTGCAAGTATTTAATGGATTACAACATTCTGAACCCTTTGAACCTTTTCCAACACTTTTTACACTCTGATTACTCAGACACCTGTATATGCATTTAAATATATGATATACCACTGTAATTAATTAATTTACTAAGTTTTCATTCTCTTACCAAATCATAATGTTCATTATTTTTAATTAAATCGTTAAATATTGTTTACATATTATCGATTTTAATTATACCTTTTTGTAACAGTTCATCCATACTATAAAACATAATTTTTATCGAATTAACTTTTAATATCTGCAATTAAAAAAAAAAGGTTTGAAATAATATTTAAAAATTTCGTTGTCATAATTACTATTAAAGTTTCTTTATTACGAAATTAACGAATAATAATTTGTAATTATTATTAGTTTGGTCTGTAATCAAACTTTGATTCATAAACTTTCACTATGATAAGATTTGTTCGAAAGAACAAACGTTTCATTATTATAACTCTTTAAACAGACCTTTTAGAAGAAGTTATTTCATCTTCCTTAAGATAACATATATATATATATATATATATATATATATATATATATACAACCATACAGTTATAAAACAGTCACCTAAGGCTGTGCTTGTTTTACGTCACATTTTATGCAAGGTGTTTCCAGTTCATTACGAAATTTTATGTCTTTTTTTTTTTTTAAGAAAAAAAAAAAAGAATTTCAATCTTTACTTGGAACTAAAAAAAATTATTTGATGTATCAAATTTTTATTTATATTATTTATTTTAATTATGTTTTTATTTTGTAATCTCAATCTCAAGTTTTCGATATTTGATCAATTAATTAACTAGAAGAATATTCTACGAAAAAAAAAAAAATATAAATAAATAATAAAATAATAAATAAAATATAATAAATATAATATAATATAATACAATAAATATATAAAAATATTTTAATATAAATATTAAAATAATATAAAAAAATAATTTACAAATATAAAAATAAAAAAAAAAATATATATAATATAATAAATATTTAAAAAATATTATATATTTATATATATAAAAAATAATTAAACATATAAATAATAAAATAATTACAAAATATAAAAATATAAAAATATAAAAATATAAAAAAATATAAATAATATAAGCTCACCTTTAACTATATATATAATTGTATAATCCTAGAAAAAAAGTGTTCTTCAAGTATGTTACACGAAAAGATGTTAACACTAGATTCTCGTATCTCAAACTGATCGTATTTGATTTTAACGAAGTATTTCAGTATCGTGCAATAGTTTCATAAAAAAAAAAAAATAAACATTAAAAAAAAGTAAGTACCATTTATATATAATTAGTTTAATATATACACCTCATGGTTGAATGCACCATTCGTGACATAAATCAAAGAAACCAAGTTAACTATACTTCAATATTTCCTCGTTAATATATATTTATATAAAAATGTGATCATTAACAAAATTCTTCCTAAGGTTTGAAATAAAAAAAAATAAAAAAATAGAATAATATAATTGAAATAATTGAAATGTTACGTATATTGTAACTAAAAGTAAAATGATCATTTGACGTTATGCAAAAACTCTTGAGAGTAATAGTCGTCCTAGTTAAAACAAAAATAAAACACATACATAAACAAACAAAAAAAGGAATACAAAAAAAAAAGGTACAGAATAGAACGGTTAAAATTTACATAACAGAGATTTAACTGGACTTTGTAGTTATGAAACTTCTCTCGTGTCTTCTTTCCATCATGTTTTTGCGAATGATCATAATAACATTCTTCACTTGCTTTGTAACTTTTACCGGGTTCTAGTAAATTACGACACCTTTTTAAATTATTCTTCATGTGAAAGAAATTTAATACATTTATCTACCATGTTATCATTAAAAATTAAATTAATTAAGTTTAAATTGACAACTCATGTATTTGATTTGTTTGTTTGTTTTTTTTTTTTTTTTCAATGCATAAAAAACAATTATGAGATTTTATTAATTTAATTTTTAAAAAATAAAAATTACTAGAACTAACTCTAGAACAAATAATTTTGGTTATCTTACCTTAAAATTTTTCTCCCGAAAAAAAAAGAAAAATGAAAAATAAAAGAAATAAAAATGTTTGATTTATTTGCAAAATGATTGGCCGAATTTTTGGTCTTTTGATTTGACGAAGTTGAATATATTTTGAAACAAATTTTCTAAACTTTTGAAAAAGTAATTTTGCACGAGAATAATAGCAAGTGCATCCTGTTGAACGGTAGAAACGATACTAACGAGATGAGTCTTTCGCTCTTGCCTTCCAATTTGATTTCGTATCGGCGTTATTGAAGGTCGTCAACAATTTTTTTTTTTTTTTTTACGAAACATCTTCTTAAACTGGAATTCTATATTTTCTTTTTCTTCTTTTTTTTTTTTTTCTTAGGACAACTCTCAGAGATATTAAAATTATGTTTTGTAACAGATTTTAGGAAAACTTTCTTTTTTGTTGTTGTTGTATAACCATTTTTAGAAAATATTATCAAACTTGCGAAATCAAAATAAGTTATTCTTTCAATACTAAGATTTTTATGAATATTATTGAAAGATAACAAAAAATTAATACTTTTGATTTTATTATTATAATTATATAATAATAGAATTTTTTAAAAATGTTCAACAACATTAAAGAATTATTTTAATAGTAGAAAATAAAGAAATGAAGTAAGTAATTACTTGCGAAATTAAAATAAATTATTCTCTCAATATTAATTGTAAGATTTTTATGAATATTATTGAAAGATAACAAAAATTAATACTTTTGATTTCATTATGCTAAGTAACAATAAAATTTAAAAAAAAATGTTCAACAACATGAAAGAATTGTTTAATTCTAAAAAATAAAGAAATGAATTAAAAGATTACATAATTATTATGAAAATACATTTGACTATGATTTACATACGCCTGACGAATGATAACCCGTACAACATTTGAATATCACAGAAAGTCATACGTAAAGGGGTTTTATTTTAAAGAACATTAACATCAAATTCAATTGACCACACCTTTTTCATTTATATTCTTAACATTAACATTTTCACACGAGAAGAGACTTCTTTATCATCTTGACATTTTCATTTAAACCATTTAAACAGAAAAAAAAAGAACACGTAATTTTCATGAAACTGGAACGCGTGATTAAATCGAGGACACGACCTGGATTTCTACTTTTAGCAAATAATTAATCTCCTATTTGGAATCTAATTAAATTCTTCATTGATTGTCATTATCTTAAATGATAATAAAAATATTAATTTACGAATTGTTAATAAAATGATGACGGGGAAAAAAGTAAAAAAAAAAAAAAAAAAAAGAATGAACAAATAAAAACAAAGTTTCTTTTATTTTTATTTGTTTGTTGGTATTTTTTTTTTTTTTTACTAACTCGTAAAAAAATAATTATCTACTTTAATAAAGTGATGTACAATGTAATTGGATAAGCGAGGTGTTTACAAATTCATATTTAAATTTTTGCAATGGTAATTTTTCTTCTTTTTTTTTTTTAACTTAGCATTCACTTCTTTACCATTCAAGGAAAAAAAAAAAACGAAAAAGAAAAGAAAACATTTAACTTTTTATTTCAACTAACAATTATATTATCTGTTTACTTTTTTTACTTCATCTTTAAATTATTTCTAAATAAGGTTCTTACAAGAGAAAATTGAACGATAATCTACACTTTATCGTCATACTTTTATACTATTATTATAAATCGATTTTATTCGAGAGAAATAACATTATGTGTCCTTTCACCAAAGATTTCTCGTATTTGTTTTTTTTTTTTTTAATAGAAAAATATTTATAACATATGCGTATATAAGTGAATACGAGTAAATGTAATTTCATAAATAAAATAATTCAATCATCGTGAGAGTGGACATCACCATTATAAAATCATTTATTACGATAACAACAACAAAAAAACATCTTGCAAATATTGCATCGTAATAATTTGTTCATAAAACCTTACAAAGTAAATTCTTTATGGCATCATTCTAGGAAACTCATCGGTTTTCAGTTTTATTTCTTCAATATTCCCAACAAGTTTATAAATAAATATTATCTTAAGATGATACAGAGTTGAAAAGTTTTCAACTTTATTAAAAAAATACATTTTTATTTATTTTTATTTTCTATACAAAAGTTGATTGTAACAAAAATTTGTTTCTAAGTTCAAAACTTTTCAACTCACTCATAAGTATTCCTATTATTATTATTATTCAAATATTATTCCTATTTAATTATAATTAATATTTGGATAACTTAATATAAATCCCTGTTTTGTAAATAATATCCCTCTTGTTTGTTGTAATAAAAAAAAAAAAAAAAAAAACATAGAAACATTTGATTGATTTGATCGATACGATCGAAAATTCTAATTCAATCAAGTTGAACTAAATTAGGCCTATATGGCATAATCGAATTTCGAATTATTTCATCATTGGTAGATTCTTCTCACTAATTCAACCTTTATTTTATTTTGGATTATCCGATGGTAAACCCTTTATAGCAAAGATTCCACGAAAGAAGGGCTTGAAAATTTCTAAAAGTGTCTGTGTTCGACGGGCTGAATTCTGAAAAGTGAAAAATAATTAGTTCATTGAAAAAACAAAAACAATTTAATTATATTATTATTAACATTTAAAGTGCTAGGGACGCAAATATGCGTTTAGTAAAAATTACATGAGTGGTCTATCGACGTGTATACGTGTTTGTTAATATTACAATAAAATAATGCAATGTTTATATTAATTTAATTAAATTAAAACAATTGATAAGGTAAATTAAATTAAAAAAAATTATTTATTAAATTAAAAAATATCTTAATGTTTATTTAATTATAATTATTTAAAATTTATTAAAATTTAATTTAATTTAATTTAATTTAATTTAATTTAACAAAATTTATTAATTAAATTTAAAAAAATATGGTAATTAAATTATATTCAGAACCAAATACTTCAATTATTAAATTGAATTTATGATTAGAATCTAGTTAATAATAAATTATTCCATTAATTTAATTTAATTTAATTAAAAAAATATTATAATGAAATTGTATTTAGAATCAAAAGATTTAATTATTAAATATAATTTATTATTAAAATTTAATAATGATTAAATTATTCTATTTCTACGAAAACATTTTAGTTAAAAGTATTCACCACTGAAAGGGTTAAATAAAGACACACCTGTCATTAAATTTACACAAAGATTATTATATTGTTAGAAAGGAAATTACGTGAATAAAAAATAAATTATATAGAACAGAAAAATTTGTTTGACGTATTTAAAACAAAAACAAAAAAAAAAAAATAGAAAAAAAAAATGTAAATGACGTTTTCGTTTATTCAATCATAAATTATGATTTAATTCACATATGTATGCAAGAGTCATAAATTTTATCTCAAAAGGACTTTGATCGAGGATAACTAGTTTTCCTTTTTACCGTAATTATTATGAAAAAAAAAAGAAAAAAAAAAAGGAATCAAGTTCTCTATAATATTTACAAATAAAAATAATACAACAACATTTTTTTTGGTCTTTACATAATCATAATAATTCTAATAAATGATCTGCTTAGAAGTATTTTTTCTTTCTTTTTTGCAACATTGTGCTAATTTTAATTTAACCTCAACCGTTGACCATTGATCATTTTGCAATAGAATGAACGGTTTTGTAATAAAACTGGTTTTAATGTTAACATTATTCGTCTAATTAATTGCAAAATAAAAAAATTACGATTTTATATTAGAATATATATATATATATATATTTTTTTTTTTTTTTGAAATAAAACTTACGAGTATAACACTGTTGAGAATCGAACTGATGTTTGTGACCAAAGTAAATCCTGAACCAAATACTGGTGGTGGTATTTCCAATGATACTCTTTGCCTATCAAATATTGGGATGTTTTCCTCAGTTGTCGTAGTCGTTTCAGCCTTCTAAACAAACACAATGATTTTCTAATGTAATATTTCATTCTACATCATTTAACTTTACTAGCTACTACTTCGTTCAACCATTTAATACTTTCACTAGCCACAACGACCTTTAAATCATTTTTAACTTGTTTGCTTTTTTTTTCTTTTTTTGTTTTTGTTTCTTTGTTTGATAAATCTCTCGATTATATATACTTTTACGTTTATTTATATGTATGTGTGTGTGTATTTATACGTACGTATACATGCATGTGTATATTTAAATGACTAATTCGTGACGATTTATTTTCTACGCTGAGATGTAACTCAAATGTATTATAAAAGAACATTTGTTCTTTTGTTTTTTTTTATATGATTTTGTAACAAAAATATTATTTTATTTTATTTTATTTTATTTATTTAAGATTATATATGTTTGATTTTATTTCATTACAATTGAATAATAATGAATTGATTTTTGTCAATTTTAATAAAAGATAGAAAACAAATATATATATATATATATATATATATATANTATATATATATATATATAAAGATAAATAAAGATAAATAACACTATGTGTGTGATAGGAAAATTAAAAAGGGTGTGGAAAAGGGATTATATAATTTACTATTAAAAATCATCTATTTAAAAATGATACATAAAACAATGGTAGTAAGTTTATTTCGTATAATCATTATTATATTTATCTATCACCATCATCATCATTATCATCATCATAATCATAATCACCATAATCGTTGTCATTATTGTCATTATAATTATTATTATTATTACTATTATTATTATCAACATTGTCATAAGCATTGTATGTAACAAAAGCGTACATATGCACTATTTACATCACATCTACTAACACACTAAAATTCTAGATTGTAAATGATTGAATTGTACCGTAAATCGAAGATAGTAGTAGTAATAATAATTAAAAAAAAAAAAAAATTAAAAAAAAACAAAATAGAAAAAAAAATATAATACTATTACGATAAAACAAAGTTATTTACAGATAAACAAAAAATAAAAAAATATTCCATACAGAGAGAGTGGAGATTGATTTGAGTATTTACCAATGATCACAAAAACTATGTCAAATTTGAGACAAAATGTTTCAAATTATTTTAAACAAATTAATTAATATAAACGTTAACAATATTACAATAAACCTTACGAAAGTTGGGTGAATAATATTTTGTTTGTTTTATGGTTTTTTTGTTTTGTTTTTTTTTCTGCATTTTTTGTCTTCATAACTTTTTTTTTTCGATACTCAAAACACGTTGCAGAAAGGTTTGCACTTGCAATTCTGTGTAACTTAGGGTAGGGGTGTGCTTTGGGGGTTGAGGGGGAGTTCGAAATAGTTGATTGTATCCTCGTAAAACGTTTTATCGTCCAAGCTAAAAAAATAAATAAGAAATCAAAAGTCACAATTATCCATTAATTGTCAATGAAAACTTCAAATCAAATTTGACTTCGTTTTTTTTTCTTTTTCTCTTCGTCCACTTATGCGAATTCGATCTTTTTGTCTCTTTTGCTTTTTCTCTCTTTCCTTATTTCTCTTTTTTTTTATTTTTATTTTATTTTATTTCAATTGGGATTATTAAAAATATCTATTTTTTTTTTTGGTATACTGATTTTTGTTCTCTCTCTCTCTCTTTTTTTTTAATTTTAAATGGCATGTCCCACATTTGGATGGATGAACATTTCTTGTCAAGTGTAGCTGAAGAGAAGGGCCACGAATGGGGATGGTCCAAAGTCCAAAATTTCCAAAATTGTCCAGTATTATAAAACCCATAACTATGCCTGATTTGGTGGCTGGTAGTCGTACTGTTTATGCATAATGAATGGTGACTAAATTCAGTAACTCGTTAACGGAGTTTTGTTTTGGTTTGTTTGATTTTTTTGTTATTCAATCTGTTTTGTAATTTGTTTGATTGTTTAGCATTGAAATAAACGAATTTGTTTTATGTTAGATTATGTTAATTATTACGTATTTTTCTTGTTCTTCTTGTAATACCAATGAATATGAATTTGATTATATTATATATGTATACATAAAATAAAAATACAAATAAAAGTAAAAATAAAAATAAAAATACAAATACAAATACAAATAAAAATAAGAATGCAAATAAAAATACGAATAAAGATAAAATTAAAAATACAAATAAAAATAAAATTAAAAATACAAATAAAGATAAAAACAAAAATACAAATAAAGATAAAATTAAAAATACAAATAAAAATAAAATTAAAAATAAATATAAAAAATAATAAAGTATTAAGTTCATAAATAATTAATTATAGTTTAGATTGATTAATGTTTATAAATTTTTTTAGAAATATGTTTAGTAGTTAGAAACGATAGAAGTATGAATAAAAAAAAAAGAATGAAGTATCAAAGTAAGCATTTTAAGCAAGAAAAATATAAGCACACATGACAATGTTAATTATCTTAAGATAAATAAATCTTCGATCCTATTTATTATCCAATCATAAAGACTTTTCTATTATTATTATTATTATTATTATTGCATTTTGTTGCAACGAATGCAACAGACTGTTTCAATGCATTTGTGCAATGATTATCATAAAAAACATGTTGCTAGTTGTTGGTTTCTTCTTGTTTTTTATATTCGATTTCGTTCCAGATAAAAAGGTTTTTTTTTTTTTTTATGTGTTAAGAAACATTGTCATTGATTAATAATATCGATAACAAATATGTGTATTAATAATTATGAGAAAGGTAAGGGTTTAGTATTATCATAGATTTTTAATTAGCTTTGATACCTTGACCATAAAACGAAAGATTAGTGCAAAAAAAGTGAAAGAGAATGTAATGAAAGAATAGGAATCCAAAGTACATCCTTTGTTTTTTGTTTGTTTGCAAATGAATTGAAAATTATGTAGAAAGAGAGACAGATGTGTGCTAGAAACGAACATAAGTGAAAGAGAAAAAGAAAAAGAAAAAGATCATTGTGCTGATAGAATAGAAGAGAAAAATAAAAAAAAATAGTACGCATAGTTCTCGATTTAAAAAAAAAATGAATTTGTTTAAAAAATTAATAAATACCTACACACAAAATTACGTCAAATTAAATTCTTAAGTAAAATAAATGTTAAAAGAACAATAATTGTAATTTAATTGTAAAAACAAATTCAAGAACTATCCGTACTCGTATTACTTTGCAAACTGAAACACACACTCACACATTAATATAAATAGAAAGAAAAGAATTAAAAGTAGAGAATAAATAAATAAATAATGCATTAATTAATTAATTAATTAATATAATCGTACCCCTGCTAGATTCGCGAATGCTCCAAGATTAATTCCAGCTGATGCACCAGCTCCAGAACTGCTTCCATCGGAAGAAGAACCGGAACTACCGCTGGAATCACTACCACCAGAGCTACTTCCACTTAGGCTAGTAAGGGCACCTAATTTTGAGGAAAGCAAGGTACCAAATAATTGGGAACCTGCTGATCCAGAAGAACTACTACTGGATCCTCCACCTGAACTGCTATCACCCGAAGTTCCTAAATATATTCATTCAAATGAATTATGTCATCAAATCATTAGGATTTGAATTAAAGATTCGTGAGTTTGAAAAATTAGCAATTTAAAATTTATAATAATAATAATAATAATAAATAAATTTATTTATATTAAAGAAAAAATATAACAAAAACAATTCATTATACAATTATCAACAGAATTAACCCCTTAAGTTGCACGCTTGAGTTAACTCAAGCGGCGTTGTATAACGTTGAGCCAAAATTGTTCCTTAAAGGGGTTAATTTCAACACGAATTTTTTGATTACCCCAATTCTAAGTCAATCAGTTAATCAAAGTTAAAAAAAAAAAGGAATAATAATAATGATTTATTTAAATATTAATATATTATACCTGATGAACCACTAAGACCACCGACGATAGAACTCAATGGTGCCAATTTCGAAACGAATGCACTCGACAATCCAGTTCCGGCAGAATTAACGAACGTCGCTGCACTGTTAATAACCGGACCGATGCTTGCAGTACCAGCTTTGATCTTTTGAGATATTAAATTGCTAATAAATTGACCTGTTGCTGATTGAGTATTGTCAATACCAAAAGCTTCATTTTTAACTCTGTTAGCTTCTTCCAATGCAGTCAAAGCTCTCGTTTTTGAATCCAAGAATGCATCTAATTTCTATAAATATCATAACTCATATATCTAATATATCATATTTCATTTATTTATTATTTTATTTTAATTAATTCTATGTGACTTACACCAAAAACAAAGTTGATCACACCATTGGTTACTCCCAATTTAACGACACCAATTTTTCTTTTGTCTCTGTCAGTCCTTTCATCGTCAACCCCTTGACCCTCGTCAACTTCGAATACATATACCTGTTTTCAATAACAAATTATATATGTAATATATATAATATTAATATTAATATTAGTTATATTTTATTTATATTTAAAGTAATTATAATACTAATATTAATATAATAAGAGTAATATTAATATATATGTAATTTTAATAAAATTTTATATATTAAAAATATAAATAAATAATATAATAATATGTATATATGTATATATATAAATATGTATAGGAAAGTTGCTAAAACATACTTTCACAATTTCTACAAATAATCTTAAGTTATTAAATGGTTTTACGTAATATTATAGAGAAAGAGAGAAAAGAATGTATTGGGTGCTAATTCATAAGAATAATAATAATAGTATCAATAAAATATATTAATAAATTACATACATTCAAAATAAGATGATACAAATGTTATTATAAGGATAATTATGTAACATGACCTAATGATTATTATTATTATATTATTTAGTGACAAGTTGATATCTTTGACACGCACGCGTGTCACGGAAAATCCATTCAAAGCGTGAATCAACCTATCTCTGTCGTTTCGTATAAACTTAGCTGTCTACTTTCACTCTCAACTTGTTCTTCCGAACTGTGATCTTTCTCTCTCTCTATCTCTCTCTCTCTCTCTCTCTTTTTCTCTTATTTTACCCCTACTTTCTTTACCTAACTCATTAAAATAACTTAGCCCGTTTATTCTATGTCAATCTTTATATATACACGCAAATATTAAATGATTTCAAATATTTAAAAGTTCGAAGAATTTTTTTTTTTTTTTTTTTAGATTATTATCATTAATATTATTATTTGGTCAGAATGATTGGTTAAAATAAATTATTATTATTATTATTATCTATTTTTAAACCTAAATAAGTTTATGTTATAATTAGGTTTGTATTTTTTTTTTTGTAAAATAATATTTTGTGTGTGTACTGAATTAATTTTAAAATAATATTTGAAAGATTGAAAAATATATTATATTATTTTATAAATATATATATTATAATTTTATATATTATATTATATTATTTTTAGATATACATTTATTATATTTATATTATATAAAATTATAATATTATAAGTTATAATAATATTTAATATATTTAATATATTTTATATATAATATAAATTTAAAATATATATTTAACATTTAATTATAAATATATTTACTGTAATATTATTATAATTTGTATTATTATAATAATTATGCTATTACAATAAACATATTATTTTTTATTAATTATAAAATATAATATATATATTATTATTATTATAAAATATATTATTATTTATATTATTTAATATAATATATAACATTTGTATATTATTAATATAATATTGAAAGAATAAATTAGACAAATAATAAAGATACGGTGACGAAAGATAAATCAATTTAATTAACCATAATAAATTGTTCAATTAATCTATACGTAAGTTGAATAAATAATCTAAATTTGATTGCATCCAAGGAGCATCATCATATTAAAGATGTAAACTGTCATATCAAAATATTTCTTTTCTACTACGTGTCTATAATAAACATCGTTTTCTCTCATTAAGCAATAACGTCGTGTGGTGTCTACCACAAATCGAGGTTGTTATTCATAAGTGAGCGAAATGGCGCAACGGAAGGATACAAAAAAATAGTCAAGAAAAGGAAAGAAAAAGAAAAAAAAGTAAATAAATTCGCGACGACGACGGTAAATAAGTAACGTCGTTGAACTAATCGTAACGTAATCATTCTCTCTCTCTCTCTCTCTCTCTCTCTCTCTCTCATTCTCTTTCTTTACGTGCATTATTGAAATGTTTCAAAAGTAACCACGGACGACCATTTCGGTAAAGCTTTCTAAAAATGTATAGTAGTCAAGGTCGTTCTCGTGGTTTAGCCCACTTTCATTTTCCTTCAAATTTATAATACCATTACGATCATTTGAATTATTTTATTAATAATCAAAAATTCAACTTACTTCGTTCAAAGGGTCGATTTCATTATCAGTTGCTTCCCTTTTTGTTATTGGATTGGAATCAACCAAAATGGCGATCAGCAACAAACCGCACAATGTCCAGGTGAACTTCATTTTTCTTTTTTTTTTTTTTTTTCGATTACAGTTATCTCACCTTTTATTTTATTTGTTGCAAAGTAAATCTGCGTGTCTATAACAATAACAAAAAAAAAAAAGAAATCAAATAATTGAATTATAATATTATTAGAAAGAGAAAGAAAAAATAAGGGTGATTGAACGATGATACGTGTAAAAAAAAAAAAAAAAATTAATTTGGTGAAAGGTTGAAAGAAAGTAAAAGTATAATAATCGATTAAATCTATCACACATTAGATCTTCTTCTAATCTTAATTCTAATCTTGTATAGATTGTATCTTCTGTCATGCTATTAAAACAATCACAGTTCAATTAATTCGATTTGATCTAATCGTAGTAGTTTAGTATTCTAATCATAATTAAAACGAATTAAGTCTTTAACAAACAAAAAATATATAAAACGGATTAATAAAAAAAAATGTAATTCACTAACAAAATTACCAACACATTAATCAAATAAAAGATACACGTATGCGTGCGTGCGTGTGTGTATTTGGGTACATGTTCAAATTAAAAACAAATAAAATTCATTGAAAAAACATACAAATAATAAAATAATTAAATTCACTAAAAATAATGTTACCAAAATTTTAAATAAAATATAAATTCACGTGTGTGTACTTGCATAATTAAAAAAAAAAATAAAATTCATCGACAAAACATACAAATAATAAAAAAATTAAATTCACTAAAAATAATGTTACCAAAATTTTAAATAAAATATAAATTCACGT